ACTAACTTATAATTTTTACTGTATATATACATATTGTAATTATTTATTACGTGCTTTTATTATGTTATTTTCAACTCCTAGTAAAGTTCCACTGTTTCAGGAGTATACTTATTAAAGATTTAAAGATTAAAGATGTATCCATTTTATCAGCCACTTCTGATAACCAAAATTATCTTCTAAATTTCGTAGCCACAAAAATAAATAAATGGACTGTGAATCTGTTAGAGAAAGTAATTCTTTGAAACTTCTCTTAAATGAAAAAAAGCAACTTTGCATTGATGGATTTGATTGATTTTTGGTTGATTGACTGATGGTCACACCTTTTTGTCCTCTCGGAACTCACATTTCGTCAAAAAAAATAATTGTATTGATGGATTGATTGGTTGGTTGATTGATGGTCACACCCTTTTTGTCCTCTCAGGACTCACATTTTTCATCAAAATTTTTAAACCTGAAGGCTAGGTTTCTAGGTAAAACTGACAAGATCGACCATGCTTTTTTTTTTTCCGGCAAGCCTTACGTTTGTTAAACTCATTAGAGATAATTACTACCTTACGTTAGCTCGACGAAATTTTTTCTTTGAGTAAATATTTTAGAAAGTTTTTCTCCTAGTTGTCAATCAATTTTCAAAGGGTTTTCAGCTGACAAAAACAGTTAATGCTCAGGGTCCCGAGAAACTATATTTCATAGTTAAACTTTTAGTTGCCACGAGAGTTTGAATCATGTTCAGGGCGCTTGAATCTGCGAATATGCCATTAATACAAAAGAACAAATTTACATTTTGCGCCCGAAAGGCCCAAAGGTGAAATGCAGGCGGTGCCATCCTTTTGATAGTGCAGCTACTGCTCGTTCAAAAGGGCCTGTTTATAAGAGGAAAAAATGTCCCTGGCAGGAGAATGACCCTATTTCCCGGTGACCACAGGACATCTTTTAACAAGAATTGATATGAAAACAGCTGTTCTCGCCTGCTGAGCCCAAAATTTGCCATTCCGGTTACGCGCATGCTCTATATGCCCCGAATTGTTCCTGCTACGCAAGTCCAACTGATACTTTAAGTGGTGACAGAAGAAGAGATGGCTTGCCTCCCTCCTTCCCCCCACCCCCCACAGGGTCACTCTGGTTACTCTGGTACCCGAGCTTACTTTCTGATTTGTCATGTGAACAATTCTGACCGATCCTGCTTCTCATAAAGAAGAGCGTGAAAAGCTCTCTTGGGTTGGTTCAGTTTAGAAGGTGACCCTGACCTGCCAGGGATAACTTTCTCCCTTATTTTCAACTGTCAATCTTGTTTTCAATCAATATATCTTGTCAGAAGCTCTAGGAAGACAGAACGTCAAACATAATTACAGTTGTAAGCTTGCCGTTTAATTAACTTTTTTAAACTTTTCTGACGTAATAGAGATCTCTTAGTCGTTGTCATCACAGTTCTTCACAGAAACCTAACCTGCAATGATGACGATTTATCTTATCCCTGAACCGTGACCTTCAACAATTAGGAAAGTTGAACAAAAAAGCATCATTGTGGTAAGCTCTTAGTAACAAATAGTTCTTAGTAACAAATAGTTTCCCGGAATCATGCGCCTATTGGCTTAGCAAAAAACCATATCACCACATAACATATCAGGTTTACACAGAAAATCGAACTACAGGCAAATGATCAACGGAAGAATATGAAATATCCACCGGCGTATATTTAAAGTTGTCATGTTACGATCCTGTTTTACTGTTGAATTATGTTCGTGAGAATTAGTTTTTTCTTTTTCGCTGCACGATTTTGGCTAAACAGGATCGCTTGCGCCATATTTTTTTCTCCATTTCTGCCTTGAAGTCCGTATAAATCAGAATTACCGAATAACAACCAGCAGAATATCGCAAGATACCCTACAGGAAATTACAATTTATTTATATTTTCATAAATTTCATAAAGGTATACTCTATACGAAATTTAGTACACTGATTCCAACGCATATTCATAGGTGACTTTTCTTTGATGTAGCGAAATATTACGAGGAGCACGAACTCCCACCTCGCCGACGCCCTTAAATATAACTCGCAACTGCTCGTCGAAATTCGAGACAAAAAAGAAACTTGCAATAGTTTAAAAAGCTGTTCACCACTGCAAGCCAGCTACGTGGCGCTAAAGGAATATTTGTGTTAAGAATTATTTGAAATGGAAAGAGCGTTTAGAAAGAGCATTGTTTCAAGTGCGCCGGGTTCTATAGAAAGTGCCCTACAAGCATTGGTTATGACTTACAACACTATCAGTACTGTCTTCATGTGATTCGGCGAACTATATACTAGTGGAAATTGCTATCTTATTTTCGGTGGGTGAACGCTATCCAAATCCCTATTTGGAAATTCCAACTCGAAACTAGTAATCAAAACGACATCAAAATTCTTGTAGTTTAAGATCTGTAATTAGAGACTGCTTTTTTATGGGAAAACAGGGTAAAAGTGTTTTTATACAAATGTTAACGACGGAACGGCATTTGTCTACAATAATTGATTACAGAAAAAAAAAAAAAAAAAAAAAAGCAAACATTTGGGAAACAATTTTGAATGTTATCGTTACAGACTTCTACTAAACAGCGTTTAGGAAGGACTTTTTAATTCATTGTTACCTTATCGTGTACATGTGCACGTTAGCTTCTTTCATTCCTAGCTTATTTTTCTGTTCTAGTTGGTACGCCCAGTTGCGTCCCATTTTTCTTTTTTATCGAGCACTTTAATGTTCTAAATATCTTACATGTATGTAAACAAGCATATTTGAATTCCCTGCTTGACAGATAATTCGGGCTATTTGTTTCATGATGGGCAGAAGTGCTCCAAAATGGTTATCTCTTGAAAAGTAATTATCACAACTGTCCAGAAAGTGGTTATTCACAACAAAGATTTTGTTGGCAGTTTCCGAAAATAGGCATTTCGGAGAACAAATGTTTGATTTCAAGTAACCTATAGCGATCTACTTTCTTAGGCGGCCTGTCGCGAGCAAACGATGGATGTCACATTAGCACTACTTCAATACAAGTTTACGTCTATTACAAAAATTATTCATTTAAAACGTCCCTTAAATTTTGATAAGGCCTTTCCACAAATGTCATCAAAACTCATTTAAATATATTTCTGGAAATTCTCAAACAATTGTCTAAATATCACAAACACATTTTCTTAATATCTCGAACAAACCTCTAAATATCCAATATTTTGTTGTAAAATGTTCTGATTTTGAATCGCTCGGACCAAAATTTTCAAAATTGTCTTGCAGCCGTAGTAGGAGTAGAGCAAGAAGGTTCAGGCTCCTTGATGTCACCAGCATCCGCCATCTTGAAAAATTGCTGGTTTAGTGCTTAAGCTTTTATTGATATGAAATATATTTTTCAAGAGGGAAATCTCTTAGCTGGATTGTTTACGGCACAGAACTGGTTATTAGTTAGAAAAAATAGCAAGGAACACACAGGGCACGGCCAAAAAAGCTATAAATTTTCAGTTTCTTAATATCCCTAATTTTCTAAATATCTTAATATTTTCTAAATATCTAGGAAACATCTAAATATCTCAACGAATATCCGGATACTCGTGGAAACTCCTGATTTTGATGTAATGGTTTGCCCTATTTACGTTTTGTAAATATATTCTTTTATTCTTATAAGACTTGTTAGACATATAAGACATGTCCCTGCCATATTACCAACTAACTGAATAACCATGTATAAAAACACCTGCTTCTTTTATTCTTAATTTTCTTTATCTTCCAGTCGATACTTGTATCAGTTCGATACTTTTCATAAATTAGGTATGTAATCGTGCAATTTGACAATAATTGGTAGACGAATCGTTTTGTATTGATACTCCTCTCTCGCTCATCCGATAGATGGATAGACACCTTTATTTAAAAGTAAAAATCTAAAGGTAAGAATTTTAGGGTAGTCCCTTCAGGGAGCTTACAAAGCATCTCTGCTATCAATAGCAGTCCGAAGCTATTACCTAACATAGATTACACAATGACAGGATATATACAAAAATAAAAACATAAATATAGGAAATTATATTGCAACAAATAGCAAAAGCCTATAACTACCATAGTAATATCTTCAAATTTATATACATTTACAGTATTTATTAAAAACCGTACTTCCATGAATTTCGAAGCGTTTCTTCCCGTTAACTGGACACATTTCTTGTCGACAAACTTTAAGGGTTAAACACGACTTTCAGGCACGCTTTTTATCGCAATATATTTTGAACAGAAGCGCTCGGTTTTGGTTCGAAATTATCAGCGCTACTGGGAATACTGTTTGCACAAAAGGCAAAAAGAAACGGGGAGCATTCTTATATTCGAGTTGCACGGAAGGAAAAGAACGGGACTGCAAGTGACAGTTAAGATGAATTTCTAAATTCAAAAATAAAACAAAGCGTAAAAACTAAAAAACACAAATAAAGAAATGTCTATCACTTCAGCAATACGTCAAGATAAAGAATTTTGTTCAGAAACGGTGAAATAAATGCTGTTGACAAATAGACGACTCATCTCAAGCCCTTTCTCTCGCAATGAATTATTTCTATCAAAACACAGCAAAAAATAATTTCGAAATATTTTGATAATTGCAAAGCAGGCAAGGTTTGTCAATAGGTTTTGACGTTGAAATTTTCCTCGTTGTTCGAGACAACTATTGTTGTCCCCCGACAACCGTTTAATCATTTCCAAAGTCGTTCACTGTAAATACTAAACAACGAATTTCCACGCCTTCGTTTTCGGAATTTACCGAAGCAAGTTTATCAATTTTGTTACCACCGATAGGTATGTGGAAACAAGGAAAACATTTTCTATTTCTAAATTGTTAAAACTTGGATCATTGGAGAATGCAATTCAAAAGTTCTCATTGGCTTAGCCATCATGTTATATGATCAATTGTACCATGCTCTAAAAATATGGTAAGTGCGCGCGTAACCTTTGGGGCGTTTTCAGTTTTATTTTACTATAGTTTCTATATTTTGGGTGCGTTTTTAATAAAACAATTATTTCATTCACGCTTGTTTGATCTGAGATGATAAAAGCTAACTGGGCGCTACGCGCCTCATTGGCTATCTATCATCTCATATTCAATTTACGCGCGCGGAATAATTGTTAAATATAAAGTACTTTAAATTACAAGAACTGTACTACCGAGAAACTTCGTGTATAAAACAGACCGAGATATTTTCATGAGCTTCGCAAAGATTTCAGGTAAATTGGTAAGCAGCCGGCATAGAAGCAGAGCAACCATTGTATAACGTTGGAATGGCTTGCGCAATCGATCCAGAGAAACAAAACAAACAGTTTAAAAACAAGAATATAAGTTTAAAGACGACTTGCCTTAGTTTTATTAACAAAGTACTTAATTTTTTCTCGCAATGAAGAAAATTCATAAGATATTTTTTTAAAACCACTATAGCCTTATTTTGCATTGCAGCCTGCCTGAAGATACAGTTGCATTTCAACTCCAGGACTCCAGACTATCACGCTTTCAGCGACAGACCGTGTAGGTGAGCTTAGCACCATGTCTAGTGCTGGTGAGCTCGAAAGCTTACTGACGGAAAGCGTGACCACAACGGTCATTAAAGACGAGGAATCGGGTATTGCGTTGATAACGCAGACCAATCATGAATGGGCAGAAGAATACCAAAGGCTGTTGCTCGAACATAAGCAGCTTCTGACCAGCTATGATGGCAGGGAGAGCAAGTACCAAGAATGTCAGAGAGAGAATGTTAAGATCCAGAGGCATATGGAGCTGTTAACTGAGAAGTACAATGTAGAGCGAGACAGCCTCACGCGGCAGAAAGAGGACGTTAACATTCAAAACGAGAAGTTACGGGCAGAACTCCGTGAAAAGAGTATCAAGATCGGCGACCTGCAGAAGAGTTTGGTGGAACGTCAGAAGAGGGTCGACTCCCAGAAGGAGGAGCTTCTTGGCAAAGTCAAGCTGGTCGAGAAGTTGGAAACTGCCATCAACGATCTTCAAGACAAGACTATTCTAGAGCTTAAACAGAAGCTTAACAAGTCCGAAGCCACCCTGGAAGTCGTTCAGAAGAGAAGTAGCCAACTTTCCTTAGAACTCAATCAGGCTGACGACCAGTGCGAGGAATATGAACGGTCCATTGAGAAACTGCGCCAGGAGAAGATAGAACTTATGGAGAAGCTAGCCCGAGCCGAATACGACATCAGAATGGCCGTTGACGCAAGAAACAAGGCAGAGGAGAAGTTGTCGTCCTTAGTGGAAACAGAAAGATCACTTCGAGACAAAAACAACCAGTTTGAAGCGGATCTTCTTGCTGCACAATCAAAAATAAGAGATCTGGAAAATGAACTCAATAAGCGGCTGGCCGAAGCAGAGGAATCAGGTTACAACATCACTGTTGTACAAAGTGATGTGAGCCTTCAGTCCGCTTCACCTGAAGTTTCCACGTTTGTCTCTTTAGGAGATGATGTGCTTAATAAAGAAAAGGAAACACTCAGGAAGAATGTTGAAGAGCTGGACGTTAAGGTCAAGCGATTTGAAGGTGAGAACTTCGATCTGAAGAGGAAACTCGATATGGTTTCTAAGGACGTCAACAAGTGGGAGAATAAGTATGAGGAGGAGATTAAGGAGAGGAACAAAATTACCATTCAACTTGAAAATGAGAAGGGCAACTATGGGCGGCTTAAAAACGAGTATAATGAACTAAAAAGCAAGCTGGCTAAGGCAGAGAGGACAAATGAACACGACAAGAAGGAGATGATTAAAAAAGACGACATGATAAACGATCTGAAAGCAAAGATTTTCCAGCTGCAGCAAGACATCGATGCCCGAGAAGACACCATTGCCAAGCTTGAAATGAAACTGGAGCAGCTGAATAGGGAAATGGAAAAGCTTTATGAGGACGTGTTGGAACACCAGAGGAAATATGGCGATCTTAACAGTGATCACAAAGTCAGTGAACAGGAGAAAGAATCTGTACAAAGGGATTTCCACCACGTGTCCATAAGAATTGGGGAGCTGGAGAGTAAGTCAAGAGAATCGGAGGACGAAAAGAAATACCTTCAAAAGGAGAACGCCGATCTCCGACAGAAGCTATTACGACTGGAAGACGAACTGGACACTACGTTCAAGGATAAGACAGTGTTTGAAAATCAGTTGCAAGAATGGTCTGACAAAAGTACCAAGGAACGCAAGATGGCCGAGAATTTGCGGAAGAGGTTTGCACAAGCTCAGGAAGAAGTGGAACAATACAAGAATGAGTTGATACAAGTGAACACCAAGATCGACGAGTTGGTTGAGAGATTGTCGGAACTTAACTCTCAGTACGATACTAGCCAAACAGACCTTTTAAGTGCTCGGGCCGATTGCGAGTATAAAGATGACGAAATAAAGCGTTTGAAAAAGGATATTAACGACAAAGAAAATAACATCAGCAAGCTCGAAGTTCAGTTAGAGAAGGCAATAACAGAAAGGAACAATTCAGATGTTGAACTTGCTGGCGTTCTTGAAAAGCTCCAACACGTGGAAATAAATCGAGTGGGTAACGAAGAACAGCTCACATCCGTAGACGTGACCTACTCGCACAGTCAGACACAAGAACTTCAAGGTGACTTGGCACCCCTCCGTCGAAGAATCTATGAACTTGAAAACGAAAACAACAGATTGCAAACAATTGAGGAACATCTTCATAGCGACATCAAAGACAGTGAGAACAAGATAGCTTCATTGCAGAGGGATCTGAATAGGGCCAATACAGAAAATGAACATTGGGAGAGAAAAACAGCTGATTTGGAGAATAAAATCAACATCCTGGAAAAGGAGGAAGATGATCTGAATAGGATCAGCACCGATCTTCAAGGACGAAAAGATGAACTGAACGTGGAAGTCGAGAAGCTGCAGAAGAAGGTGGAGACGCTAACTCTTGAGCGCGACAAGTTGAAGGAATATCTCAACGATTATAACTCGAAACTCACCCAGAGCAAACAAGAGCAAAACGACAAAAGTCTAGAATTCTCGGAACAGGTTAAAGTCAACACCACGCTTAAAATGATAGTAGAGAAACACGAAGCTACCTTGCAATCACTGACTCAAAGATGTAGAGAGCTGGAAGAAGAACTGGAACATTTGAGACCGGAATTAAGAACTGCATTGGCCAGAAATGAAACACTGGAAGCGGAGAGCAAAGATCTGGATTTTCGTACCAAAGTACAGAAACAGACGATCGAAGACCTGCAAAAAGAACTACGAGAAGAGATTAATAGCAAGGAGTTACACGAACAAGATTTAGACTCGTTGACCTACAAATTAACCGTGGCTGAGGGAAATAATAAGGCTCTGACCAAGCAAAGAAATGATTTGCAAAGTCAGATCGATGACTTGGAGACCAAACTGAGGAAAATCAAGCCAGAGCTTGAACAATGTCGTAACAAGCTAAAAGACAAAGATCGCATCATAGGTCGGTTGGATGCAGATGTGAAAGACAAGGATTTGCAGCTTAACGCCGCCAAACGCAAAATCAGCATTCTAGAGGACAATGTCACCTCCACAAGGAAAGAGTTAGAAGCCCAAAAGAGTGCAAACGAAATCAACCGTAATCGCGTACAAGAGCTTCAAATTCAGCTTCAGGAGATGAGCAGTACAACGCAGACAGCTGTGACGAACGTTTCTATCGTTCAGTCAGCACCATCACAAAGTTTCACAGAAGAAAGTTCCCGCAGCTCTTCAGACGAAAGGGTTCAGGACTTAGAGATACTGCTAAAGAAGAGCGAGAGCCGGGAGAGTCAGTTGAGGGAAGAGCTCCAGCTCCTTGAGGACCGCCTTCCAAAAGTAGAAGTTGACGCTAAGACAGCTCAAGGGAAAGTGAACGAGATTCAACGCAATGTCAATACGCTTCAGAAGAAGCTAGAAGAGGCCAGAAAAATGTTAGAAAGAAGTAACCATGAAAAAGATGCTGCCAAAAAAGATTTGATGGAAGCTCGAACACAGCTGACACTTTTGGAAACCAAGGGCATGGCGGACGCGAATGAAATTTCATCCCTACAAAGTCAGCTGGACCAAGTCCACCAACGTCTCGAGGAGACTCATCAAAAGCTTCTTTCTCTTGACGAGGATCATGTACACCTTCGCCTGGAAAAAGATATCCACGATAAAGAAAAAGAAAACTACAATGTAGCGGTTGGGAGATTGAAGGGTAAAAAGCTCGATCTGGAGAAGAGGGTCGAATTGCTGGAGTCCAGTTTGCAATCAAGCAAACAAATATGCGACGCATTAAGAGAGGAGAAGTCAAAGGCTCAACAGGAACTCAACGAACTGCGACAGACAACTCTAGCCGACTTGAAGAAAAACCTTACCCGCATGCAAGGGGAGAGAGACCGTGCTTTGGAAGACTACAGGGCAACTATGTCGAACATAGAACACCTTGAAAATCAGTTAGCTGAGGCCGCGGTGAAACGAAAAGAGCTAGAGAGGGACAACGATAATCTTGATAACGAGACTCGGCATCTGAAGAACGAAATCGAAACAAATCGTACAAGGATTGAGGAACTAGAGGACAAAAGCGACACATTAAATCTGCAAATCCAGCAATACGAAAAGGGTATAGATGAGTTGAGAGAAACAAGAAGCAGACTCGAAGATGAAGTTGCGGACCTTCAAGTTAAGTTGGCAGAGAAACAAGACGTCATTAATATTTCTTCTGTAAAAGTCTCCAGTGTAGAAACTACATATGCAGCAGCCCCTGGTTTTGAATTCGGTTCACAACAAGATACTTTCATGGACCTTACTAATGGAAAAATCGATCCCAAGGAGAAACTTAAACAAGTAGAAATGGAGTACAACGTTTCAAAAGAGCAGCTGAATGATTACAAAAACAAGCTGGGAGTCGCAGAAGAAAACAATTACACCTTGGAGTCAAACCTTAAAGATGCAGAAAATGACCTCAAGGATCTTGAAATGAAACTGCAAGAAACCGTAGAGGAGTTAAATTTGATGACTGATCAATATCAATCAGCGGGACGCGAACTCGAGCTCTTAAAAGAAGAATTACAAGATGCACAGACCAAGTTAAGTACTGCTGAAGCACAGCAAATTACAGTAGTTGCCAAACTGGGAACAGTGCAGCAACAGCTAGATGCTACCCAGAAGGACCTGCTTGACAAGAATAGTATTGTTATCGAAAAACAACGCAAAATCAATGAGTTCTATGCTATCCTTGAGAGCGGCGACAAAGACTCTGATCGCTTGAAACAAGTTATTGAGGAGTTAAGAGAGGACATTGACGTGAAAGACAGAGAGAACGCAAAGTTACAGAAATATCTTCGTGTAACTGAAGAAAATGTTGCTAAACTCCAAGTGAACTTGGAAGAAATGGAAGCAAAGTTACACGATACAGAACATCAGAGAGAGGAATACAAAATGAAAGTCGATGGGTTTGAGGTAGAACTCGAAATGCGAGATCGAGCACTGGAAGAGGCACAACGTGAAGTAGATGACACCAGGGACAAGTTTAAAACATCTAAGAAGGAAATCGTCACCATACGTAGTCAACTAAAGGAGGCCAATGCCAACTTAAAGGCCGCTGGTGACGGAAAGAGGATCCTTGAAGGACGAATTGCTGAGCTTCAGGCAGTTATTGACAAGTTAAGGAAAGAATTGTCAGCTGGGATTAATTCTAAGCCTGGAAATGGTAATGTACATGTAGATGACTTGAGGAAGAAGCTTCAAGAATACAGAGTAAAATTGCAAGATTTCAACAACGAGAAAATGAAACTAGAGCTGGAACTTCGAGAAAAAGATGCAAAGATTACGCGTGATTCTGGTTCTTCGGATACATCACGCGAAGAGCAGGACCATCTTAAAGACGAAGTTATAAATTTACAAGCTACTCTTAAAGAAACGAAGAAGAATTACCAAAAAGGGCAGAGAGATTCAGAGGAACTCCAACGCCGCTTGGTGTCAAAGGACAACGAAATTAAACGCTATGACGACAAAATTGCGAAATTACAGGAAGAAAAAGAAAAACTGAAGAAAGACTGTGCCAACCTTGAAAAGAAGAACTCTGATTTGAAGATCGAGTATGAGAAGCTTAAATATGAGAAAAGCAAATCAGAAAATGAATTATCTCTGTTGAAGAAGAAGTTTCAGGCTCTGCAAAACCAACTGAACGTAGCGGATGTTTCCAAACAGAACCAAGATTTTGTAACCAGAAAGAAGTATCAAGAGTTAGAAGCGAGCTGCCAGGATGCACTGCGAGAGAGGGAGAAGTCAAGGAGTGAAATGGCTGCTTACCGCACCAAGATGGCAAGTCTAGAAGCCGAGCTCAACGAACAAAAGAGCGCAAAGGATATTTTGGAGGATGAGTTGCATCGTTTCAGGAACATCGAAACTGAGCTTAAGACTAAGCTCCAAACATCGAGGGACAGGCATAAAGAAGACAAAGACAAGATGCTGGAGTGGCGTAAAAATAATTTCTCCGCCTTGGAACAGGAACTTCAGAGAGCCAAAGGACTTATTAAAAAGCTCGAAAAGATGAACGCAGCCAAAGACCACGAAATTGAAGATTTGAAGGACGATCTTGCTGATCGTGAAAAAAGAATTGCCAAGTTGGAGGACGAACCTGTGGGGGAGGACATTATCGACGCTAGAGCCTTGGACTCAGTTAACATCGACATTAGAGGTGATTCTCAAGCCGTTAAAAGGGCTCTGGATGAAAAGGCAGATGCAGTGAAAGAAGTTCAGAAGCTTAAAAGCCAAATCTGGAATTTGGAGCACGACATGGACATCCTTAAGACAAATGGGACTCGACAGGAACGACTGGTAGCTGAAGTGAACAGCCTGAACGACAAGTTAAAAGATGAGCTACGACAGCTGAAGAAAGGAAGCCGGGAACAGCAGAGATCATTCAAGCTTGGTGCAGGGAAAAGCGAGCTCGTCTACCAACTTAACACGTTGAAAGAGGACAAAGAGGAACTGGAAAGGGACAATCAAGAACTCCGCGACGAGCTGAATGAAGTCAGCAGTGAAAATCTGAAATTGATAATGGAGAGCAAAGAACTCAAGCTCGACCTGCAGCAACTAGAAATCAAGCTGAACGAGCTAGAAATGGGACACAAGCTAGTAAAGGAAGACAACGATAAAATTCGAAGTGATTTGCTATTGTTCCAGAGCGAGAATACGGATCTGAAAGAAAGTCTTAATAGACGGAATGATGACTTTATCCAGGTGCAAGCAGTAACCACAGTAGAGACGGTAGAAAGCGCCCCGCCAATCATGTTTGATGTTGACCTTGACGAAATAAAACGAGAAAGAGATAAACTGAAAATCGAGTTAGAGGCGGCAGAAGATCAGGCTAAGATGCTGCAGACGGAACTTGAGGATAAGCAGACCAGAAATGGTAGGATTCAAGTTGAGCTGATTGAGGTGAAAAGAATAGTTACAGAATATGAAGTAGACATCAAGAAGCTAACCACTGAACTAGAAAACCTACACCATGAGTTGGATCTGGCGAATCAAAACTACGAAGATCAACGGAACGAAAATCGTGTTCTTTTGGATGCAAAAGAAAATCTCCTGGTGGAGACTAACGACTTACACAAGGAGGTGAAGGATCTGGAAATACAGCTTCAAAACCTTGCTAAGGAGAAAGCAGAATTGGATAGACAGATAAAGAATGCCGGCCAGACAGCTACAGAAAGACGATCCTCGCGAGATCTTCACAATGAGAGGGAAAAGAGGATCAGAGAGCTCATGGAAAAAGTCTCACAGTTGGAGCATTACATTGAAAAGAGTGCATACCAAGTGTCAACCCTGGAAGAGGAAAATAGTGACCTGCAATTAAGGATCAATACCCTGAAAGATGAGAACAGCGAGCTCTACACGAAGTTATCCCAGTTTGAACTCGATATTAGGAGGGACAATAGCAGGATCGTGGAGCTCGAGAAGGAGAATCAAGAGCTGCAAGAAATGTTAGGAAACAGTAATGCAAACGGAATCGATTCGGGGACTGAGAGCACAGCACTGTTGCAGCAGATCAATACATTGAACGACAGAAACAACAAGCTGCAAACTAGTCTACAACAAGCCAAGCAAGACAAAGCCGAGCTGAAAAAACAACTCGATGAATACAGTAACAGGTTCGACGACACCTCTAGGCAGCTAGCTGTGCAGATTACTAAATTCGCTGGAGATCAGAGTGTGTCATTGAGAAATGTGGCCCTAGAGAAAGACGAAAAAATTGAAAAGCTGCAGCAAGAGAAGCTGGAATTCGCAATGAGGCTGGAAAGTCTGAAAGAGGAATTAGAGGCAGCAAAATCTAGCTTCAGCGATATTCAGAGTCAAAATGAAACTCTACAGCTAAGCATCAAGACCCTGACAGAGGACAAAATCAAACTGGATATCAAGCTTGTGGAAGAAATAAACCTCCACAAAGTCAAGATTGCTGAAATGGAGGCCGAACAAGACATTCTGAGGAACAAGATTAAAGAAAAAGACAATCTGGTGAAAAAGTTTGAAGTACAAGTTCAGCAGCTCCGCGAACAGTTGGCAACATCTGTGTCCAGCAACCAGGTGTCTACTACCTTGGTCATTGATGTCAGTGACAAACGTCGTAGGCAGCGACAGCTCGGTCAGTCGTCGTCTTATAAAGAAGGCTTGATGAACAGGTTTGGGGGACTGTACCGTTCGACAAGTGAAGGCAAGATGCCTTCTGAGCACTCTCAGTTTGGTGGGACGCTCAGTAAGCAGCACTCTCGTGGCGATCTCAACAACGTTAGCTCAGCAGAACACCTCTTCAAAGAGGCAGTGGTGACCACCGAATCCCAGCCGGAGAATAGCACCCAGGATAGTACCAGGAGACCAATCTCCGATGATGAAGACAAAAAGAGTGGAAGGAAAGTATCTGAAAAAGATTCTTCTGAGAATCAAGTGCAAGAGAAGGAAAGGCGGCCTTCCGTTCGCGGAAAGGATCGTAACAGAGCCGATTGCAAACAGAATTAGGAACCATGATGGGCTCTTGGAGCTTGCAATAACAGAGCTGTTATTTAAATATGTGAACTCTAACATCGGTTTTAATTTGACTCTCAAGACACTAGTCGACTTTGTGGGGTAAACCGTCTCAGGGGCCTGGACTCAGCGGAGGACTGGCAGATATAGGTACAACATTGAGTTACAAAGTAGTTTACTTAAGTGATTTGATAGATCGGATCTATTTTTTGCATAGCAGTCTAAAAGATAGAAGTTTCCATCTCCGATAATGGGGTCTTGTGGTACGAAATTTGCTAGTAGGTTTCTTTTGGAAGACCTCCCTCTACAGACGCCTCAGCGGAAAGGGCATAAGATAAGCAAGGGATGCTAAGGAATTGGTGTTAAATGATCTTCATAAATCAGGTTTAATGAAGACTAAGTTTTTGGAAGCGATACAAAAATTTGTTTTTGCTCTTTTAGATGATGATATCATTTAGTGGCAGTTAAGATTAAGCTACCTAAAACTAGGTCTACATCCACATTTTGCAGCCATATGGTGCTAGAGGGCAGGGAACTCGTGAGAAACTGCTTTAGGCCCTGTCCACACTACGCTGGAGAAATTTAAAAACCCAAAAATCAGCAGTGATTTGGGATTTGTGTTTGAGGAAAACTCGGGAAATCCCATAATTATCGTGACGTCATCGTTTTCAAAATGTTTTCCGTCCATATTAAAACGCAAAGCTGGTCTTTTCAAATTCCCCCGGTTTGATGGGCTTTTCGGAAAAGCTCCGTTTTCGTGACGGATTAATGTGGACGGTAGGCCTAACCGTAGAACAGACCAGACACTTAGTTGTCGACAACTATTTGTTTTCGACAACTAAACATTATCGACAACTTAAAGGGGGGAAGGGGGAAGGGGAAAGGGGGGAGAATTGTTGCCAAGACGCTTGAAAATAGAATTTTTACTGCCAAGCGTCTCAACACTTTTGTCGCTTATTTTTGTTTCATTTTATTTTGGTAGATTTTGAGAAAGGGACTATAACTGACGTATTTATGCTTAATCAGCGTTCTTTGAAGCCTGTGCTTTTAGCAGTTTCACTTTGATCACGTGGTACGGCTCTTAGAACGTATTTTTCAGTTGCTAATGTTAATCCGAGAATCGCTGGCTAGGTAATTGAACCATCTCTCACGTTAGCTTCAAAATTGAGTAAACAATTCCGTATTGGGAGTTTAACTATATTCCTTAGTATGGAGCGGTTTTCAATCGAGTGTCGTTAAGCCAAAACCCAAGTATTCACTCTGGCAAAATCAAAAGTGACACAGACTGAGTCCAGTGGACCAATCAAAACTCGAAGTAATTACATGTGGCTGCTGCAAAGCGCGGGAAAACTTGTGTTAGCGAGTTACGACGATTTGTTTTGGTTTATCTTCTGATTGGACGAAAACGTGACGCGAGTTTTTAAGCCAGTGGTATAGCGTAGTTGATTCAAAACCAAATAGTTTTCGGCGCTCAAATGAAAACCTCTCTATGCTATCAGTCTTGATTTTCATAACGATCACCAGGTTCGGTGAAGTACTTAGCTTTCTGTCAAGGTTACACGCCATTTTCACGCGCGCAATATCCGTTTTTTTTTTCTTTTAAAAAAAAGCTTATACTCCAATATCTGTTGGCATAGGACAGAGATACATGGACTTCAGTTTTTAGTCGGCCTTAATCTTCCTGGTGTGTGGGTGGAAAAGTGCCTTAGTCTGTCCCCAGAGTTATTCCCCATTCCCACCCTCTTGCCTTTTGGCTTGTTTATATGCAATGCGCTGAGTTAATATTTTGCTAAGCTTTCGACCTTGACGAACTCAAGACAAAAATAGAGGATCTGTGGACATACTAAAAGTGCCCTCGTTTGTGATAAAACTTGAACGAAAAAGAGGTCAAGGAAATGAAAACTCTTGTCGACTTTTCGTGAAAGGTATCGGGAAACAGTACTAATACAGGCTGTGCTGTTTGAACCTGGAGGTTTTCTTGTTAAGCTTTTGTTTTTAACTACATTTTGCATAGTTCGCTTCGACTCTCTTGATAACTTAAGCATTGTTTTGTTATGTTTATTTGTGGCAATGTCCTGAGACATGGGATAGTTGGAGCACTTTCTTCCATCCCTCAGGTCTACATATTGAAACAAAAGCAGTGGTGTACAGCAGAGCGAGCAGAATTAGATGGGGCAATCATGGAACTGATATTTTGTCCGACTACAATCGGCGACATAATTATTTGACACATTGTCTTTCAATAGTACTTTTAGTGCACCAAATAACACCACTCTTTTCATCGCTCAATAAACTGTGGAGAAGACCCCGCTCCCTCACTCAATGTTGCTTGTTTGTAGCTCAAGATCACAGCAATTGCCACATAACATTGTTTGGAGGGAGGAGGGTTGAAAAGGACAAGCGAGTGGGAAAAAGGATTCACAGTGGCGAAATAGGGGGTTAAAAAAATGAATCTGTGAACAATTTTGTCGCCGATTGTAGCTATAATCCCCGGCAGACAAAAAAGTTGGGACACGAAGTTCTCCCCTCCCCCCACTTACAATATTGATAATCAGGTGATTTTTTCCCTTTTTGTTGGAAAAAAACCCCACATTTTCCAACATTGATTAAGGGGGATGGGGGATACGTGATCCAGCTCAACAGTCCCAACTTTTGTCCGGGATTGTAGCTTTACATGAGCAGACATCCTTAGTTTTGTGTCACGCTAGATATTTTTACGTAGAGACTTTTTTTTCGCTGCAATCGTCAAAATCAGTGTGGATTGGTAGTGTTGTTCTTAATTTTAGAAAGTTACAAAGCCTTTAAGCTAGAAAAATCGCATATCTAGCTTTCGTTTTTAAGTTTTAAACCTTAATTTTATATTGATAGATGTCTAACAGTGACAATTAAATGCAGACATGACAGATGCGAATACAACCATAACAATACTGGAAAAACAGATCTGAAAAAATTTTCAGGCTTTGAACGGGATTCGAACCCACGACCTTTGCTACTGTTGGACATCTATTACTATGGAATTCACACACTCGAGCCGAGTGCGAGTGTTACGTCCACTGAACATAAAGGGTTCTAGTCCCGTTCAAAGCCTGAAATTTTTTTTCAGGTCTTTTTTCCAGAAGGGTTATGGCTGCATTCGCATCTATCATCATGTCTTAATTTTATAGTTAGACTCTATGGCACGATTGTTTGATTAACAGTTAGTAGTTAGTTGCAGCGAAAGCAAAACTTGTGCGTATATTTCCATGTTATATGAACGCTTGTCCAGTGCGATTCACTGGTTTGTAAGCAGTGGGTGCATCTGTGAATGCCATTATCTTTAAGTTTGTACTGCACGCTGTTTCCGATCAAGGAATCAAAGTGCTTCGTCCGCATAGAAGAGGGCGGTGCGTTATAAAATTGTAGTATTTGTAGCCGGTATGAAATAAATAAACGTTTTTCGTGCTTTTAAAACATGCAATTTATCGAAGTTGATTATACTGAAAAATAACCTAAAGACAGTTGACGAACAATGGGGATGATACGCAACAGAGCAGTTTGAATCGAGTAGCCTTCGCAGCTATAACTTGGGTCGTCACGCAAGGTTGCGTGACGGCAGCGCAGCTCAAGAGACTAGTCTGAATCCGTCCCAGTTTCATAAAAGGTCAAAGTCAGAAGAATTTCGTCCGCCAGAATCTGTGCCCGAGAAATGACATTACAGTAAGTAAAACAGGTATAGGGAGAGGAAAGAGGGAAGAGGCTGTGGAAGGGAAAAAAAGAGAGAGAGATTAGCTGGAAAGCATTAGCTTAGTTGGGTTATAAATTCTTGTTGTTCATTGCCACACATTTCTTTTGCTTTCAGAGGTGAGAATTTGGAGGTAAATCAAGACAATCTCCAAGTTGTTTTCAATCCAACTTTTCGGTACAACTGCACAAAAAACGTACAGTTTTACTTTGTAAAATATTTATTACCTTGAAAACCGTTACATATCTCTACCTCAAACAAAAGTAAACATAGAATCGCTGTAGACATAACGGCGCAAACTGTTTTAGAGGACGCCTTTGATTTACGAGTTCAAATCAAGGAACACACTTTTTGTTGATAAATGATTAAGTCAGTTGATCAAAGTTCATCATATACATCAGTAGCCTGATACTTGCGCCTGACAAATTGTAGCTTAGCAAAATCTGAACGTATTCAGACGAAATTAAAAGTTTCCAAAAAAAATCAGTTCGTATCCGAGCTAAGACAGTGACTTCATTTGGACTAGTCTAAAATTCCTATTGCTCTAAGTCTTGAAGACTTTCAGTCGGTTTCTGTTTAACACTGCGCTAGCACGAATCTCATTTATGAGATACTTAATCACATGTCGTATTTAAATTTATGAAAAAAAACATTGTAACAACTATTAATTCCAAAAATTGTTTGCCACACCCTTTTCGTTCTGTAAGTTCATGAAAGATTTCTCTGAATCTGTACTTATTAGCGAAATTCACATCGATAGGCCCAGTCTCTTTCTAAGATCAAGCTTGTCTACTTCAACTGTGATTTAAAACTGGGATGAATACTGCTTAAGCTTAAGCTATGGTCCTCGGTTACTCTTCTACCAGTGAAGCTGTGTTCCGCTACGGACAAACTGCGCACACTCAGAACTGGTGAGGAGCTAACAAGAGAGCGAAGATCTTCAATTGTCAGCAGCTCGTGTTCACATTTGAATATTTCTCTCATCCGTCGTTCGGATTTCTCGTAAGCTTCTTTAGTCACGAAAAGTTCCTTTTCTAGTTTTCCGATTTCCTTTTGTGAGGACGCTATTTGCAAGCGCAGTTTGCTCAAGTTGGTGTTCTTCTCCTCCATGACTCGTTCGTGATAATCATTTTCTGCCTTTAGTTTTCTGGCTTCTTTTTCCAGCTCGTAGATACATTCCTGTTTACTCCAGAGTTCTGTTTTTATTTGTAGTTCCATTTCTAATTTCATTGTCTCATTTTGCTGCTTGACTTCTTTGAAGTCGTTTTCCAGTTTGGCGTATTTGCTCTGCACAATGGAAAGCTCTTGATCCTTTCTAGAGTTTCCAGTCATGGCAAGATTCTGGGCTTCAGACATCTTCCTCCTTGAAACTGACAGGTCATACTCTAACGAACACTTGTTCTTAAAGAGGAAATCCCGCTCCTTGCAAATATCGTTCAGCCTCAATTTCAAAGTTCCGTTTTCTTTCACGTTCTCAGCAAGCACAGCTCTCAGCGAATCTGCTTCCTTTTTAAATTCTTCTACCTGGAAGCTCTGCCTCTCAGAGAGAAATGACTTTTCGGCGAGTTCTTTCTTGGTGCTCTCAATTCCCGCTTGTAGTTGTACAGTCTCCGTGCGAAGGTTGTCAATCATTACATTTTTCTCATCGATCTCCCGCCTATAACTATCAATGCGGCTGTCAATCTCAAGCGAGGTGTGGATTCCGTCATTCAAATTATAATCCAAAAATTGCTTTTGCAAACCATCAAGCATGTGCTGTAGATAATCCCTCTCTTTTGAGACCTTCTCCAAATCGATTCGAAGCTCAAACATTTTTGCGGTCTCCTTCTCTCTGTCTAGTTCTTTCAGACCCACGTCGCTTACCTTGTTTGCAATGGAGACCTGTTGTTCGAGTCGACTCTTCTCAGCGATGAGGGTACTGTTGGTTTGTTCAAGACTAAACATTTTCTTTTTGGATTCCTCAAGTTTAACGTGTAACTGTAACTTTTCTGAGTGAAGTGAATCAAGTTTCTCCTTATAAGATGAAAGCAATATGTTGAGGGACGCTACTTCGCCGTTCAGCTTTCCTTTGTCTTCCTTGAGTTGCTGCATTTCGCTACTTTGTGGAGTGACATCAGCGGAGCTAACATAGCGACTTTCCTGTTTCACAATTCCTGTGGTTTCTTGTAGCTGGGAGAAACGTTGTTGCAAAACGCTAAGTTGGAAGTGCAGATCACCATTCTCTTGCTTTATGTCATGGTAGCTTTTTTCCCAGCAAGAGATTTGCAGCTCGAGTTTTTGAAAATCAGCAGACAGATTTTGCTTCTCCTTGTATATTCGCTGGTAATCATCTCTAAATTGTGAAAGCTCCGTCTTAAGCCTGTCCATTTGAAGGCTATTGGTAGCTTTATTTTCTGCTAGCATAACTTCAGATTCTTTTCTAGTTCTCTCGGTTTTCTCAAGTTCCTCTCTTAAGTTGCCATTACTTCTTCTGGCCTCGTCTATCAATCTCTTCACTTCATCTTCTTGCCTTAGCAGTCCTTTCAGTACATCATCTAGCGATTCGCGGCGCTGAGGAGATGTTTCTATTACAGATAATCTTTTTTGAGTTTCGAGAAATTTTTTGTGTACGAAATCGCAACTTTCCTGGCTCGAAAGGTAAGCTGACTCCATTTGAAGGGCTTTCTGCTCAGCTAAGCGAAGCTTTTCTTCCGTAACCTCTATATTCTTTTCGCAAGAGTCGCGGTATTCTTCCAACCGCATGATTGTGTTCTTAGAAGCGTTAAGTTCCTGCTGGAGAGTTTCCACATTCAGTTGTAAATTATTCCCGTCAGAGTAGTCCTGCTGTTTAGTATTTTTCAATATCCGCCCTTCTAGATCTTCAATCCTTCTTGTTCTCCAAATCGCCTCACACTCGAGCTTTTCTTGCTGTCTTCTTGCTTCAGATAGCTTGGATTCGAGATCAAGTACTTTCTCCTCAAATCGAGAAATCTCGCGCACATGTTCTTCGTTTTTCCAAATGAAAGACGATTGGTGTCTTGAAACAGATTCTTCGATACGTCCAAATGTCTTCTCGGTTAACACGGTGGATTCGTCGTGTTGGACAATGCTTTGCTTTGCTTTAGCCATCGCTAATTCCTCCCGTAATTCCCGGGTCTGTCGTTGAAGTGATTCGTATTTAGACTTGATTCCAAAATTACTTCTCTTTAAGGCCAGTAATTCCTTCTTGCTATCTCGAAGCTCTTCCTCTTTTGTAGAGTTCTGAGCTTCTAAGTATGACATCTTCTGACGCAAAGACATGATTTCTTCTTGAAGGAAGTCGGCTTTGTGTTTTGAATCGTTTAAATTCTGCTTGTGCATCGATTCGAGAACCTGACTGTCAGATAATTCAAGTCGCAGCTTGTTATTTTCTTCAAGTAGTTTCTTGATGTTCTCTTCGGTTACTAATATACACTTGTCTTTCTCGTCAAGCTGTAGCTTCAGCCTTGCTAGTTCTTGGCTTACGTTGTTATAGTCGTCACTCCCACAAGCAATTCTCAGCTTTGACGATCGAAGTTCATCTTCTAAGAGCTTGATTTTGGTGCTTTGTTCTTTTTGCCAGCTATCGTTCTTCGCCAGTTCCTTCTTGTAATTTTCAACCAAGGCCCTGAGGCTGAACAACTCTCTTTGCTTTTCAAAGAATTCTTCCTTACTGTAAACCATCCTTTTGTTGGCCTCATCTAGCTGTGACCTGAGTGTAACTTGCTCGATAATTGCCTTTTGCTGCCCTTCTTCAGAAGTCGTCATTTTTCTTTGGCAAACGTTGACGCTATTTTGGAGTTCCTGAATATGTTGTTGCGATGCATTCAGTTTTCCTTGCATTTCTGTAACAATCCTCTTCATGTTAAACACCTCTTTTTCCGCCTCATCTCGGTCCCTAGTTGCAGCAGTTAACAAACTTTGCGTGCTGATTAACTCCTGACTTAGCACGAAGATGTCTTTTTCTAGCTTTTGGTTCTCCTTCACCACGTGCTCTGTGGACGACTCTTTACCATCCAGGCCTTTGTGTTCCAATAGCACGCGAGCCTCTTGGAGGGTTCGCTGCGTACTTAACAGTTCGTCGTCTCTGTTCTTCAGCGTTTCTATGTACTCTTGAACTTGTTGCTCCAGTTGCATTCGTGCATTTTGTGCATTGTTGATCTCCATTTCTAATTTTAATATCTTTTTTCGTGCCTCTTGTATTTCCGTATTAACAGTCTCCAATTTAACAACTGAATGACGGTGGTCATCTTTCAACGGAGTGAATTCTTTTTGAAGCGCTATGAGGTCTTGCTCAATTTCGCTCTTTCTTGCTTGGATTGCATCGTATTTCGATTCCCATTGAGACTCTAAAGTCCGAGCAGCAAAAAGATTTTCTTGGAGCTCAGCTTCCTTCTCAAGAAATGCTCGGCTGCTTGCTTCCAACTCGACAATTTTTCTCCTTTGCATCATGACCTCTCTTTCTAGAGTTTGAATTTTTTCTTGAAAAACAGAATTTGCATTTTCACTAGCTTGAAGTCGTGGAAGAGATTTGCTTTGAAGTTCAAGGCTCTGATACCGTTCAGCCAACTCTTTGTATTCCACTTCTACCGTATGCAGCCTTTTCTTGAAAGAATCTGCCTCTATTTCTAAGTTTGTGTTCTTCGCTTGAAGCTCTCTAACCTCTCCCTCTTTCTTGATTGCATCGGTCTTAAGAATGTTGATGGTGCCTTCCAGATTAGCAATCTGCTGATCAGATGACATGTGACTGTCTTGGTGCATCAAGGAACTGTTCTTCCATTCTTCCACTTTACCACATAGTGCTTGTTTCTCACGGTCCTGTTCCATTATTTGATGTTCAAACGACGCTAGTTTTGCCATAGCAGACTGGTACTCAGTTATGAGTCGGTCTCTTTCAAGGGCCACTTTTTGAATTCGCGCTTCATAGTCAGCATTAGATGTTGTTAAGGATAAAATTTCCTGTTGTAATCGTTCTTTCTCGAGCTTCGTTCTTCCACAGTCTTCGCGAGATTCCGCTAGTGTGTGTCTCAGTGTTTCGATGCTTTCCTCTAAGTAGAGTTTGCTAGCTCTTAATTGGTCCATCAAAAGCTCTTTCTCGTCCATCTCTTTCTTCATGGCGTCCGCCCCGATTCTTTGCTCTATAAGCAGTTTGTCATTCTTCAAAAACTCATCATGGCTACTCGATACTCTTTGAAGAGCACTCTCAAGATGGCGTTTGACCGAATCCTTCTCGCGGATTTCATAATCATATTTTACCTCTAAGTCCGTCAATTTACCGTGTAAGGTTACCAGCTCCTCTTTGAGATTTTTCTTCTCTAGGTCGTACTTGTCAATAGCCAACTCGTACTCCTGTATTTTAGTCTGAAGCGTTCCGTTTTCGCGGCTGTACTCCAGAGTTTCTTGATATGCCGCTTTATTCTCCATCTCAAGTCGTTTAATCTTGTTTTTGTGGTCATCAATTTTTTGTCTGAGTGATCTTTCTCTGTCTTCACTTTGTTTGTACAGAGCTTCAACTTCCCAGATCTTCTCATAAGATGTCTTTTCCAGCTCTCCACTTTCATCATGGAAACTGCTTAACTCAAGCCTGGAGATGCTCGCGTTAGCTTCATCTAAGCTATCTTCGAGCTCTTTTGCTCTTGACTGACTCCTTTCATAGTTAACTCCCAAGGAATCCAGGTCCTGTTGCAAAGCTGTCACCTCCGTTTCCAAGGCCACCTTGTCGTTAATCGCCTTTTCCAACGCGATATCTTTTTCTTTTAACTCCAAACTCAGACTTTCGCAAGCTCTGTTCTTTTCCTGAACCTGATTTTGACACACTTTTAATTCTTTTTTCATCTTCGTAATGCCTGTTTGAGAACTTTCCCATTGCGTTTTGTATTCATCCTTATCAAAATGAAGGCTCGACACTTGGGCCTCAAGGCTGACAATCTTAAACTTAGAAGTAGTTAACTCTTGTTCCAACTTCATGACAGAGTCTCTAAGAGCAAACACTTCTTGCTCACGCTGTTCCAGTTTCTCTTTGTATGAGGTCAACCTTCCTTCGTATTCACTTTTCTCTGCTCGCAATCCCTCAGTTGTAACCTTAAAGGACATCAGCTCGCTTTTTGCCTTCTCTAATTCAGCCTCTGCAGATCTGATCTTCATTTGAAGTTCTTCCACTAGTTGATCTTTCCTGAGGATTGCTTTGTTTACAGTCTCGTTTATCTTCTTTTCTTCGGTAACTTGACTTTCCAGTCGCATAATGTTCTCCTTGTCATAAACAAGTTTTGTGTTGAGCTCATCTAGCTGGTCTTTAAGCTGTGTCCTTTGATCTTGCATGGTCTCGATTTGTGATTCATACTTCGCGATTCGAGTACGCATTATGTGGAGTTCCTCTTCTGCTTTTTCTTTCACCTGCCTGCAAGCCAATACCTCCTGTTCAAGCTCCGAGTTTCTCTTCTCTAGAATGCTCAGCTTTTGCATTCGTTCTTCCTTGTTTGCAACTGCTTCCTCTAGCTCTTGTTTCAAAATTGACATTTTATTTTCTGTTTCTTCTAATTCATCGAGAGCACCTTGTATATCGTTCTTCGTGAGTGCTGATATGGACTCCAGCGAACTGACTTTGCTCTTGTATGACGCAAGTTCTCTGGCTAGCTCACTCGATCTTGAACGCTCGTGATCTAGTTCTCTAGCCTTCTCAGCGGCCACAGACCTCTTGAAACTAGACTCCATGTTAGCAATCTTTTTCTGTGCTGCAAGATAGTCTGCTTCAAGCTGCTGCTTGCGTTTCAGCGTCGTTTCATACAAGCCTTGCGCTCGAGAATGTTCTTCCTGCTTGACCATAAGTTGGTTGTGTAGCATTTTCTTCTCCTTTTCACCCATTTCGCGCATACCCTTCACATTTGTCAGCTCTTCTCGACAAGCATCGAAGTCAACGTTTAACACGTTCAGTTTTTCGTGAAGTTGTTGTAACGATGCCTCCCTTTCTGCTATTTCCTTACGTAGCTCGTCGTTTACGCGCTGTTGCTCCATGAGCTGCGTTTTAAGTAAAGTAGCTTCTTGGCTGATAGCACTGTAAGTAGCAGAATATTCTTGCATTCTAACTTCGCAGGTAGAACGTTGATTGACGGCTTCTTCGAGCTCAGCCTCCAGCTTTGTGACTTGTTGCTGTAGTGCCATGGTTTGGTGTTGAAAATCGTATTTCTCATGCTCGCATGCGTTATAGGACGCTTGTAGCTCCGACAACCTCTTGTAAAACGACTGCATTTCAAGGTTTAGTTTCTCGTTTTCTTCTGAGTTCTGTCTGTTATCGGCAGTTACGTCTCGAATTCTCTTGTGTGCATCTAACGTCTCTTCTTGCAGTGCTCGTTTTTCTTCCTCAATGATCTCCATCTGAGCTTGAAGCTTGCTAACTTCACTGAACAAGGACTCAGTCTTGAGCTCGTAAGCAGTCATTGATGCTCTGAGATCCTCGATGATCTCATCCTTTTTATCGGACGCCTTTCTGCTTGACTCTGAGTTCCTCTGAGACTCTTCATAACGACTCTGTGTCTTGGCCAGCTCTCTTTTCAGTCTTGTGACGTTTGATCGTTCCTCTTCTAGCTCCGCTTTAAAATTCGTCTTCTGCTTTGATGCACTCTCAATTTGACCCTCGTACTTGAACATTTGGCTTTTCATAGCCGCCAACTTCTGTTCAACCTCGTTACTAGCATCCTCAGTCTTCTGCAAAAGAGATTTTGTTTCTGCAATCCTTCGCTCGGATAACGTGAGTTCCTCTCTTACATCGTCTCTTTCGCGTATTGCCGTTTCATAGCTGGACTCCAGTTGACTAATTCTAATTAAGGATTCCTCGAGTTTAACAGTAAGATGTTCGATTTCATCTTTGGCTTGAACGTAAGTGGGCT